ATGAAATGGGAAAGGGGGGACAGAGCGTTTGGATTGTGACAAGCTCTAACAGACATGGTTTGTATTTAAGGGTTTGTACACACCCCTTCCAAAAGTTAAAAAATGATATTAGTGTCTTTTACTACTAACTAGTAATAAAAGCGTACGGGCAATGCACAGAGAATTAATTACATGTTCATATCATGCAAAAATTTGTTGGACGTTAATATTGGGTAGAATATCAACTATCTGTTAATTACATGGACAGTCTATATTTGGTATGTTATTAATTACATGCTAAATATATATGTTGAGCGCTCACGATTTGAGCAATATAGGTAGTTGGATTAACGATGTTTGATGGATAAGATTTGTTGGATTTGCTACTTTGAGTCTTTTTATATTGGTATAGATGTAGATATAGATTACTAGCAACTAATTTACTCCCCCCGTTTCTAAATATAAGTCCTTATAGAAATTGCAGTATTGGCTACATATGGAGCAAAATGAGTGAGTGTATACTTCAAAATATGTCTATATACATCTGTTTTTTTTCGAAAAGGGGCACTTTATTACTTAGGAGATTTAAGCATTACACCCGGCCTCTGCATTACTAAGATGCACACAGCCAAAAAAAGTCTTCTCGCATAAATGAAAAATAAAAAGGCGAAATACAAAAACATGAAGAGTCCGTATGACGCCTAAAACGGAGGGTGGTCAATCCTAAGATCATGCCGCCACCCATGCTGGGTAAAAGTATCCCTCGCCATAGCCTCCAATCGTGTACACACCTCCGTAAACAGGTCTCGATTCTTCACGCGTTGTAGAGAGGATCATAAACGAAGAGTCCCGGTATATCTGTAGATAACCTGCATCAGGGAAGTACTTTTATCGTTAAAAACCTTATCATGTCTACATAGTCAAAGCGACCAAATAACGGCAAGCGCTCCCACCCTGAGAAAAGTTTTAAACCTGTGATCAATCACATGTAACCAGTTGCCAAATACACTAGCAACACTATAAGGAGGATACAAGCCAGAAGCTATTTGGATGACTGACCATATAGAACGAGCCAATTTGCATTGGAAGAATAAATGTTTTATTGTCTCATCATGAAGACAAAAGACACATTTGCAGACTTCCATGCCAATTCCTCTTAATAAGGTTATCTTTAGTAAGAATGACTCCGCGACGAAGATACCATGCAAAGATTTTATTCTTAAGAGGTATCTTCATCTTCCAGATCTTCTTATAATTATCAACTGGCACATCAGACTGAACTAACGCTCTATACATGAAATCCACTGAGAATTTTCCATTCCCATAAAGGTTCCATCGAAATACATCAAAACCATGTGACAGGTGCACCATGGACAACTGCTGGAGCAGCATGTTCCACGATTGGAGTCTAGGTCCAATTAAATCTCTTCTGAACGTCACATTTGGCGGAAATGATTCCATTACCGTGGCGATAGTATCACCCTTGTGGTGCACAATATTGTATAGAGCCGGATATTGTTTCCGGAGTGTGGCATTTCCTAGCCATCTCTCCTCCCAGAATCTAATTTCCGAGCCGTCCTTAATTGAGAAGGATCCATAGCAGAAGAAATATTTCTTCGTAGCCATTAGACCCGCCCAAAAGTGGGAATCCCCAGGCTTCCAGTATACTTGGGTACCGCCTTGGAGCCCACATATTTCCTCCTTAGGAGGGTTTGCCATACACCTTCTTTCGTCAGAAATTTAAACAACCATTTGCTGAGGAGGGCCCTATTCTTAACCTCAAGGTCATGAATACCCAACCCGCCTTGGTCTTTGGGACGGCAAACCACACTCCATTTGGCAAGTCGATATTTCTTTCTCTCACTATCTCCTTGCCAAAAGAATCTTCATCGGAAATAATACAATCTATGTAAAACTCCTTTCGACAACTGGAAAAAGAAAATCATATATAGTACCATATTACTAAGTACTGAATTTATGAGGACCAATCTTTCACCCAGAGACAGCAGTTTACCTTTCCAACTACTAAGTCTTTTTTGCAGTCTTTCCTCGACGTGTTTCCATTCAATATTTGTGAGTCTCCGATAATGTATCGGTATCCCCAAATATGTGATCGAAAACTGGCCCAACCCGCATCCAAACAGTTCAGCATACAGGTGGGCCTCGGCTTGAGCATGTATACATATGTATACATCTGTATGTAGTCCATATTAAAATCTCTAAAAGGTCGTATATTTAGAAACGGAGGGAATAGATTAGAGTAAGCTGGCTCCTATACCTCACATATGTGTTCATGTGTAAATCCATACAATCGTCTCCCCTTCGCAAGTATGTAGCTAGACCATGATTTGCTAAGGTTTCTATTCCAAGAAGAAAACCATGTGCAGTATGTCGACGATACGATCATCCTTTTTAAGATCGGTCTTCGACTGGCTAACTTAAAATGTCTCATTCTCTGCTTCAAGGTCATGTCTGACCTTAAAATTAATATGTGCAAAAGTGAGGTGTTAGTCATGGGTTGCCCTCCTGCTAAGCATAATCATAGTGCGAATTCGTTAAACTGCAGTCTCAATTCCTTCTCCCATTAAATACTTGGTATTCCTTTGTCGCCTCTCAAGCTTAAGGTTATGAACTTCATTCCTATGGAACAAAATATTGCGAGTGGCGCCTTAGGTAGCCAAGTATAATATCTCTGGGTAGGCCCTCGACGGGGCAAGTATAATACCTCTGGGGTAAAGTTATTTTCATTAATGTATGCTCCTCAAGACTTCCAATGTACACTATGGGTTTTACAACTTTCCGAGAGTAACCACTAAGTTTTGAAAAGCATCGTAGTGCCTTATATTGGAACACTGACGACAACAAGAAAAAATACAGGCTAGTCAAGTGGATGCTCATGCACAAACCCTTGGGGTTGGGAATGATCAGTACCTGAACAAATGGTAGAAGCCAAATACTACCCTCATTGTGAACCCCTCAACGCCAATCCCCGGGGTGGGTCACAATTTTGTAGATCATTGTCAAAGTGAGGGACAGATTTAGCGAGCATGTCAAATTTGTGGTTGGCAACGGAGCCACAATTAGATTCTAGACAGACTAGTGGCATGGAGTGTGTTAGTAGGAAAGAGAGGATTGCATGCATCGATTGTTTTTATTGCTTGAGCCTCGTGGCATATATATAGTGAGTACATGACCTTCTTGGAGTACAAGACAAGATAGGGATAAATCCTAGTCTATCCTATCATATACTTCCTAATAGTCACGATACTCAACAGAGAGGGCCCTCTTAAATTTTACTTTCTTGCCATATTCTCGTATGGCTCTAGTTTTGAGATCACCATTACGGAGCTCTCTGCTAATAATCAGGACCTTAACCTTTGCTGGCCATTGTACCCCAAAGATTTGGTTAAATGGTAAGAGTGTGTTGCCCTTTTCCCTTCATTCTCGTCGACTAATGACCGCATGGTCTCGCCCCACACCGCTTCTTGCAAGTTCAAGGACTTTTCAACGACAAGATTGTCTCGTCGTAGCGATGCTTAAAGTCAGTTCGGGTTAAACTAGCAATTACTACATATTTCAATTATGAGATATAATAGATAAACATTGAAAGAATTTCCATGAGATGGAAATAGAACCAAGATTGTATATGTGATATGGTCCAATATAATTTGTTGTTTGCGAACTTTAGAGATATTAGAATGAACTGAAGCAAACATAATGGAGTTGGATTCTTTGTTATGATGAAATGGTCAAAATTTTGATTTCATCGAGGAAAATGAAGATGCTTGTGTTTACAAGAAATTAAGTGGGGTATGATAATATTTCTAACTCTATGTGTACAGAACACATTGTTGACTGGAAATAATATAAACTTGACAGGAATTTGGACTTCATTGAAAATAGTTTTTTGATGAAGTATTTAGGCAAGTTAGCTTTGGTATTAGGTATAATAATACATGGATATAGTAGTGCCTAATATTGCTTAGTCAAAATACATATTGACAAGATACTAATGTTGTTTGGTATTAAAAACGCCAATAGAGTCTCTTGTCAAGCTCACATGGAAAGAGTTTTAAGCAAGCATCAGTATCCTGAAATACTGATGAGCAAACTACATGATTGATATTTCACTCACACTTTTGAATTAATCATTTATTCCATGGTATGTAGAACTAGATATGTCCAGTACTTCAAATAAGTTGTGAGTAAGTTACCAAAGTGATCAAGGTGTCCATCATAGGACAAAACTGAAAATGTCGTTAAGTATTAAAGTAAGAAAGATGACATGTTTCTCGCATATGGAGAAAATGAAGAGATTGTTGTAAGGAGTTACATCAATATAGGCTCGATGTAAGTAGTTACACCGATAAAATCTTCATCAGTGTTCCAAGCAATTTTCGATTTCAATTAAAGGATTTATGTAATAAATTAAATGGTGGCACGGTAAGTTGAAATTGGTCCAAGAAGGTTACTATGGCGAATTCTATAACGAAGATTGAGCATGTTGTCACTTTAGAAGCAACAATGGAGGGTGATGAATCAAATAGTTCATTTATGAATTCAATATGGTTTCTAGAAGGCTTGTGCCAATGGAACATTGATCTAAATAATGGTTCCA